CTATTCTTGAATTCAAATATGATTCTCTTTTTAAAAGCATTTTCACCATGGAGACCCTTGATAAAAATTTCCCACTTTTTTCTTTTAATATCCTGAAATGCGTTTGCTTTCTTATTTTTTTGTATGCTTACATATTTTTATCGTACACACAACTCACAGAAAGAATTTATTCCATATCATGTAATAATAATTGTGGATGGAATGTCTAAAACATTTTTATGGAAGGAAATAAGGTGTTTCATGGAGTTATTAGGGATTTGAGAGTCATGTGGGGCAGATGTGTTTGGGAACACTTTCCCCAGGGACCCGGGCAGAGAGTCAGATGGGACTCTCAAGGGCTAGAAAATGCTTAAGACTCTGGAATGAGGATTCGCCAGACTTCTGAGATCTAATCTGGCAATTTATATACTATGTCTAGGCTAACATATTTTGGAAAAACTGTCTAGTGTTGGACTCACATATTAAATAATTTTGGTAGCCAACTTCTTTCCATGATTTGGCAATCAGAAATTTGGCAATCAGAACAGAGTGTCTCCAAAATTGCTACCACTGTTACCACAGAAGGTCCTTACACAGGCTGCAGGGTGCACGGTGTTCATCCTCTTTCCTCTTGGGTCCATGTGTGCCTCTTTTCAAAGAGAAGATTTGCATGGTCCTCCAATATCTACCCATGAGTTAAAGCTTTTTTCTTACCCAGGGTTCTCCGGAGAGCTGCCTTGACCTCCTTATTCCGCAAGCTGTAGATGATGGGGTTGAGCATGGAGGTCACCACTGTGTAGAAGAGAGCTAGGAGCTTATCTGTTCCTGGCGAATGGCTGGCCTTGGGCCTCAGGTAGGTGACAGACCCTGAGCCATAGAAGAGTGTCACTACAAGCAGGTGGGAAGAACAGGTGGACAAAGCTTTCCGGCGGCCTTCAGGTGACGGCATGATCAGCACGGCAGCTAGGATTCTGCCATAGGAAGCAACGATTAGTAGAAACGGGCTGGAAATGCAAAGAATGGCCACAACAAAGACCGCGGCCTCATTATGGGACGTGTCTCCGCAGGCAAGAGCCAGGATGGGGGGGAGGTCGCAAAAGAAGTGGTCTATTTCACAGGGGCCACAGAAGTTCAAGGAGAAAATATAGTTGGTCTGGCCCAAGCCCACCACGCAACCCACTGCCCAGGAAACCACGGCCAGCTGGGCACATAGCCCACGGCTCATTCGCGTTGCATAGTGCAGCGGGGAGCATATGGCCATGTAGCGGTCAAAAGCCATGGCTGCCAGAAGACAGCACTCACTGATGGCGAACAGCGTAAAGAAGAACATCTGCGTGGCACACCCCTCGCGGGAGATGCCCCGGGCCTCACTCACAAGGCTCTGCAGCATCTTGGGTATGACCGAGCATGTGTAGCCAATCTCCAAGAGAGACAGGTTGGCCAGGAAGAAGTACATGGGTGTGTGGAGCGTGGGGTTGGTGCAGATGGCCAGGGCTATGAGAGCATTGCCCGTCAGGGAGGCCAGGAACATGAGCAGGATCAGGGTGAACAGAAGCAAGCACTGCTCAGCGGCTGTAGAGAACTTGGCAAATGCAAAGTGCTTGACGGACTCGCCGCTGTCCTGCCACTGGGAACAGCTGAGGTTCATGACCTGGGGAAGGGGTCAGCAGGCAAGGATTTGTTCAGTGTAAACGCAAATCTCTCTGTTACCTTTAATGAGCGCTAGTAGGTCACACAGCTACGTTTCTTACCTGCAGGTCTAAAACTCAGAAAATTTGGAAATTACACTCACCCTCATGCCTTTACAACCAAATCCAACTGTGTTCACAACACCTGATCAAAAATACACCTGATCACCAAGCACGACGCTGAAAAAAATGAACTCCAGCTCATTTCTGTCTTCATCCAGGCCGTTAATCAGTTGTCAAATACTGTCAGACAAAGGTTCTCTGTACTGATCCTTCCTTTGTTTTCTCCATCTCTGGTGTCACCGAGTCCTTCACTCCTTCATTCAATACATGTTTACTGAGCACAGAGATTCAGTCCTTTCTGCTGCAGGTCCTGAGATTTAACAATGAAAAAAAAAAAACCCACTTCTTCCCAAATGTGACTTATTTAGTGAAATAAAGTAGAGATTAAATAGCTGTCCAATAAGTACATAATTGCTGTACTGCAATTAAAGCCCCTGTGTCCTGGGGCCCTGTGGGAAGAGCAACAGGAGCCCAGGTGTGAGGACCCGCACCCGTGCTCACACCACGTCTACACTGCATGCTGGGTTCACTGCATCGAGGCAACAGGCCTTTACCTGTGCTTCTTCTCATCTGCCAGCCTTTCCCCATCACAGGGTTCTTTGTGAAATGAAAATGACCACTGGCTTCAATTCAAACATCTTATTAATGTAATTCATGCAATTACATTGCATGATTGGCCCAGTGACTATCTACAGAAATATTTGCCCCTTAACCAGAGGCCTCCTGTGACCCTCCTACCAAATCATGCACACTGGCACCTTTAAGCGTGTGCCTTTCTTGCGCATTTCCTTTGTGCTGATTTTGTCGCAGGGACTTGACCTCTGCTTCCCTGACTGTCCACCCAGTGAAACGTCTGCTGCGTTCAGGCTGCAGGACGGCGTCTTCTCCTCTCTGGAAGCTTCTTCCTCACTCCTGCTCTGCCCCTTCCCCAGGGTGGGTGTGGACACATCCTTGCCTGTGTTCCCACCATCCCGTAACTCACATGCCTCCAAGGTTAACGGCTCATTTCTTCCTGAGGGGAGACTCAGACACAGACACAGAGCACAGAATTGTATTTATCGGGCGCCTTGGGGGCACAGTCAGTTAAGTGCCTGACTCTTTATTTACGCTCAGGTCATGATCTCACAGCTTGTGAAATTGAGCCCCGTTTTGGGCTCTGCACTGATAGTGAGGATCCTGCTTGGGGTTCTCGGTCTCTCTCTCTCTCTGACCCTCTCTTGCTCTCTCTCTCTCACACAATAAATAAATAAACATTTAAAAGAAAAGACTTGTATTTATTTACCTCTGCACACACCCACCACCCTTACCAATGAGGAAGTTCTTATGTAATGAGGAAAAGCTTGAACACACAGCTTTACTCTTCCACCCACAGGTGCTGAGTCTATTTTCTGAGGCTAGCTATGAAAGATCTCACCTCCTTCAAATGTCCCAAATGTGACAGTCGCCTTTCTCTCAATCTAGGAACATCAACTCCTGACAAAATAGCCCTCGTTTCTTTTGTGGACGTCTTGCACTTTGGGATCTTCTTTTGAAATGTCATCAACCACAATTCTAAAGCAGGTTTGCCATCCAAGGGGCAGGAGAGCAGGGAGGTCACACATCTCTTGGTCTGGACTCTATCTGCTCATTAACATCACTTGAGATCGTGTGTGTACATTTGTTTATAACACATCACTGTTTATCACACAGTGACGTGTGATGCTGACACATGTAACACAAAAGTGTGCTTTCTCAGGTTGTATGTTGTTATGAACAGACAAGTATATGAGGTGCATTCACAAAACCCTAGCATAAAAATGTGCATTCTTGGTTACACACATACACCCACACACAGAAGCACATACCTTCCAATCCATACCAAGTAGCATAGTAATCAAGAGTGTTTCAGAGCTATTCTATCTGGGTTCAAATCCTCATACAGCCATCTAGGGCTGGGTCAAAGTCAACATTTACCGAAATTATCTGTTTCTCAGTGTTCCCATTTTAAAAAGGAGGTGACAGTGGTATGTCACTAATGGGGTTACTATGAGATTGAGTTAATTCCCATGAAAGCACTTGGAAAGTGGTTCAGTGCACAGTAAGCATTAGCATAGCAGCGGCTGTGTCCACATACACTGTGGCGTTGGTCACCACAGATTTACCTTCACATACACTCCCTCTTGTGGGATTTTACATTCCAGCCCTGACCATTCCTCCTGCCTCCTCTTCACCCCCATGTCCTGTTTTGCTGCACACCTGCTGTGATGGAGAGAGGAACATCAGAGAAGGCACACAGGCATCCATACGCACACATCCGACACACACATCCATGCAAACACAAAAAGGCCTCCTGATGTTATGTCCTGAGAAAAAATACTTATGTTGTGGATCACTTTAATCTGTTAATTTGGTGTCCATTGAGCTTTGCAAAGGACCCAAAGTTAAGGATGGGAACAAGTGATCTGATTCAAAACTGGGAAATAAGAAATAATAAGTCTGCATAATGATAGGGGCTCCCACATCAAGTAGTCTATTACAATGTATCTACATGGATAGTAAAGAATTTATAAACATTTCCCTTGCATTGTCATTAATTTTAACATCTGTATTTCCCACGACGTCACACAATTCAGTGAAGCCTGAGGCAAAAAACAGACAATGGCTTACTTATCTTTGTTTTCACCCAAAAGATTTTCTTGAATTTCCTGACTCCTCAATGAGGGTCTATGCAGTTTTACTGCTTAGACAGAAAATTCCGCCTGTGGAGAAAGCGTCAACCCATTTGTCAGTTACACATGTGCACAGGCCTCTTAGCCCTCATATCTTCCTATATTGGGAAGACGGCAGTTTCCTGAGTGATGCCGAGAGCGCTTCCAGGCGGGAAGTCCCCAGCAGAGAAGGACAATATCTGACTCCTTCTCAAGCAGTGGCATCCTGATGGTTTCCTTTCCTAAATGACCAACCCTGTTCGGACGGCAGACAGGAAATGCCGAGCCTGTCTTGGGTCAGGGAGCCGGGCACACAGTGGGGCTGCTTGCGCAGACTAATGCATGCTATGGCAGCTGATACTTTAGGACTCACAGGATGGACAAAAAAAAAGTCATCCCGTGATAAGGACATTTTAAAACCTCACAAGTTCAGAGACAATTGGAGAAATGGGAAACAAGAGGTAGCAAAGGTCTGTGAGCATTTCTAAATATTTAAACAGACAAAGAATGGCACTCTGCCTAGAAATAAATACTAAATCATATAAAAATAAATGTCTAGGACGCACTGGAGGTGAGGATACAACCAAAGGCAGTCAGTCTCTTCTCCCTCCCTCCTGCCACTTGGCCTGATACTGAGACGGGTAAGATCTGATGTTTAAATCACACTCCCTGTTGTTTTCAGGGTTTACTCTGTTGGCCTTAGTCTGGGGACCCTGAGGTCCATGTAGTGGAGACCAGCTTCATGTACCCTGATCACTGCTGTGGAGACAGTGAGGAACTGGAAGCAGAAAGAGCCCCAAGCCAGTACGGCAGCGGAGTTTGAACGTCGCTTCTGTCTCTCACCTGACACATTTGCTTGACCTAAAGTTTCTGATTCATCATTTCCATGTAAAGGAAGGATGATGAATCCCTTCTCATCTTTCTTGATACGTTGTTTTGAGTTAAAAATGCAAACGTTGTAGAGGCAGACCATGAATGAAAAGTAAGAAATGGCCATTAAAATGCAATTTGTCAGGATCAAAACCTCTTGTCTTTTAAAACAATGAATGAACTCCTGGGACACTGTATGGAGTATTTTATATTATTATCATTCTCTATTGTTACATTATAATATATACAAAATAAATATATTATATGGCATATAACATATATATTATTTTCAGTCTATAAGAGTAACTAACCTATGAAGAGTCTGTGATCAAGCAAATGGCAACGTCATATAACCTAAAGATATAGAAGTTTTATGCCACAAAATAAATTCTATTCACAGATTCCTATTCAATGTAACCGGATTAAGTGGTCCTTGGACACTGGCAAGATTCTGAAGGTTACACCTTGACATGGACGTTCAGTGATGGTGGATGTATGAGAGAAACAGGGGGAAAATAAGGTAATTTTAATGCCCAGCCCTAAGAGCCGGGGCAAATTCTATAGAGTTCTGCTTTGGAAGGAACCCAGCACAAGCAATTCATTTGGGGTCATCTCCACATAGTTAGAAATACTCCTTGACCTGCTCATTCTCTCATTAATCTCTGTCTACATAACAAAATGTTTCTTTTCTCCTACCAACCAAAGGAAAACATGTTATACGTTATTAGACTTTGTATCTGAAACAGCAAAGTGCCTGGCATACAAGAAACACTCAGTAGATTTTCATTTCTAAAATGTCTAAATAGTAGATACAATTTATGTAAATGGCTCATTATGGACTATAGAAGTGGTTTCCCATTCCTTTCCACAATTTCTCCATAAGCGCTTCCTCGAGGACCTGATGAGGTGATGCCTTAACACAGCACAGCAGAAAGTATTTGTCATTTGATTGGTGTAACGTGTACAGGACAATCTAGATATTTCCTTCCCCAACAGTAAGAGGTATTTCTATTTCCTATGAAGTAATTAATTTAGAACAACTCATAGCAATTTTACGACAGGAATATGGAATCGGGTAGGCTATTACACTCTCCAGAGAAGGAGGAAATAGCTGATTAGATAGTGATCAGAACTGAAAATGCTGCAGGTGCTGGCTCTCTGTTCCCCACTCGAATCCACCGTCTCCTACAGCCTCTCTTCTTGAAACATCACTTATGCCACATACCTTTAATCATAATGTTCAAGGGAAAAGCTAGGTGGTGATGGCTT